AGAAGTAAAATACTCATTATGCTGCTCTGAAAAGTTCTGTAATCAAAGTTTAAATAGTAAACAAAGGTAGCACTAACTTCCTAGAACTTTTTAGCAATTGAAAACCACTGAATTGCTGATCCAACTCTTTTCATCAGCGTGAACCAAAGTTAACACAATTTATTGATATTACCTTAATGATAGGGCACAAACAATTCTTACCAGTCTTACCTAATCCTCCAGAAAAAGTTCAATGACATTGGTCCAGTTGGTTCAAAATGGCAGAATCTGAAGGATGATGAGGCTCCTTCTAATCCAGTCCTTTATGTTACCCAAGAAGCCTGGCCCTGATGTTAGGTTCAAACCACACATCTGTCCCTACAGGATGAACAGAGCATTTACTTTAAGGGGAAAAAAAACAATGGTCTTTACATAGTTGTTTACAGTGCTTTTTTTTCCCGCATCATTTATCATAGAAATGTTGATATCCTTTAAAATGCTTCCTTTTTATGATATTTGCAAGCAGTGTTTTATGATTATAGTATACATGTAGAAGAATGCTTCATCTTTTGAAATCTTTGAAATTACTTTCATATAAAGGATTTCGTTTTAAATATATAACATGGTTAAGCATAACTTTTTGTTCAGGATGGGCATTCTCTCTGGTCTGATGTAGAAAACAGTGTATTTTCTATTTTGACACCTAACACTACCATTGTGAACTAAAGTTGCTGACATTCATTGAAACTGTTAGATTTACACAATAAAAGTTGTAATATTGCTTTATTTATATCTAATATGCGTACACATTATTATTTATTTCTTAATGACTATGCTGCTTTGTGGAATGCCTTTGTAAAAAGGGATGTTCATCCCCAATGATGCATTTTCTGCAATACTAAACATTAAGTAAGCATAACAATGACCCATTATTAAATAGTGAAAACAAAAAAACAGATTGGTGTGTTTGTCTGTCACTGTTAAAGGTCGATTCAAGAAATACACCAAGTAAATAAAAGGCATGGTTTGAATATATATTTTTATTGCAATTTAATGGAATAACTTTTATTCAGCTTGACATTGTGTTAAATAGATGAATGCTTGACTCTATAGGACCAACATCCTTCTCTCCTTCTGCCCCCCTTCTCCTTTGTCCCCTGTGAGCCGTGTCCCTTTATTCTATTTATAACTTGGCTGGTGGAGAAATCCTATATTTTTAGTAACGATATCAATAGTCTACAGCACACTCTGACCTCAGGGCATGGGAGACTCAGAGAGTTAGATAGGAAGAGGAAGAGGAGGAGGAGGAGAGATGAAGGATAGATAGAAGTAAAGGAAGGAGGCTGCAGTACTGAAGAAGCGGGACAATATAATCTCACAGCAATTGACAGTGATAGGGCAGGAGTTCGTATCGCTCCAGTTAGAGATCAGGGTTTGGTTTCATGGATTATGATTTTTTTCAAAGAGACAATTTTAGATACATTTTCTTTCAAAGTTTGACTTACTTTGGGCTAATGGTCAAATAACTCTTCTAAGATTGAATAACTGACAGGATAAAGGAACAAGATCTGCAAAGTAAGATATTAGTTCTAATTATGCATCTCAATACATTTTATTAGGGTTTTAAGTAATATACAACCATAAAGAACGCAGCATTAGTTGAGGGAAAGGAAAATAACCAATAGTTTTTTTTTAAATATTATACAAAGAATAATCTGAAAAGTGAGGCATATCTTTGTTTTTAGCTGTCTGAATACAATGCAATAAAACCTCTTCAGAAAACAGCTATTAAACAAATTACTTCTGTGTATTTTAATCTAAGTAGAGAGCTATAATATCTTGGTGTGGATTAGATCAAACCATATTATCATGTTAAAAGGGCTTAACTCTCAATCTTATCAAGGATATGTGACATTAATTTAACATGTATGTTGACAGAAGCTCTATTCAGTCCAACTGAGCCCTTATTCTACACAGAATAATAATGAAATCATTCTGTCAATAGAGGTGAATGCTGGTAGGGACATTCCCCAAAAGACTTTTAGCCACAGTAGCAAAAAACATTGCTTCGCTACAATATTTTAACCCATAGGGGCTGACTTATGTCACAGCGTTTCTAATTTTCTTCAGAAGGAAACAATGAATTAGGTGACCACGTACCATTTACTTTAATCGTTGCAAACATGAATGACCCGTTTTGGTGCATTGTATAAAAATTAACTAAAATCCTGTAGGTTTGTGGTTGAAACATGACAGCATGAAAGGAAAATGAGAAGATCTTGAATTTTTATTTAAAGAAGCGGGAAAAGTAGGAACCTTTCCCATTTCTATGCTAATTTCCTCTTAACAGTAGAGAATGACATATAAAGTGTTAGTTCTTAAAGGTATGTATTTGACAGTAACATTCGTCTTGAGATTGACATCAGTTTATTTTTCAGAACATTATTGATTTCTAAAGGAGAAAAAATTCTATATCAACAGTTGATTCAAGATCAATGCAATTCTTTGACCAAAAATGTGTTTGACTATACAGTTAGCAGAGCATGACTTACAGTAGAAATGAGCAGGAAAGCACGAGCTGTGCAAATCCGTCAGAAAAGTATAAAAGAGCCATGAAGGACGTGCAGAGAAAAAGAGGGAGAGGTACAGAGGGAGATTGGAAGTTGATGAGATTTTAATGTGAAGGTCAACTTGTTATAACTTTGGATCTCTACAGGGATATTAGTCTCTGCTTGGTGCTGGAGGGGCTGAAGAGACGGGGGCGGGTGTGGGGCAGTTGAGTGAGAGGAGGAGGAGGAAGAGAAAGTGAGGTTGCCTCAGAGGAGAAGGGAGTGAAACTATGATGCCGAGCAGGGCTGGTTTTGCTGACAACTCCAGCCTCACAACAAACAGAGCGGTCAGCATCTTCTCTCCCAGCATGTGTGTGTTTGATAGAGAAAGTTAACATGCTGGAGATTGCCCTTTTTTGTTGTGTTTTGTGTGTGAGTATGTGTGAAAATGAAGGAGTGAAAGAGAGGCGTGTTGGAGAACACAAAGCAGGAGGCATTTCTCTGCAACTTCACAGGATAACAGAATGGGACACGTCACTGTGACTTTCTCAGTTGGTTTATTTTAAAGTTATTTTTCCTGCTCATAAAATCAAAAACTTTACTCAACTGGCAAATAAATCAGCTAAACATGATAGACTGCTGATTATTACATGTTTATATTGTCTGTATTGTATAGTAGCCTGTCTGGTGTGACAGAAATTTATAATTAACTACAAGCTCTGCTAACAATGTATTTCCATTTGCAAGATTCTGATGGAGATGTTAGAGCCACCTGCTTTGATCATATTTAAATAAACATACTGTTTGAATAATTTTTTTCCATGTATTGAACAGTCTCACTGAGCCTCCCTTTTAATTACTCCCAATCAATGCTGTGTGCTGTATTTCATTACACAGCAAAAAGCTTTCTGGTAAATGCAGATGAAAACACAGGTTTTTGTACTTTGTAAGCTGAAAAGCTCGTTTGTAAAAGACAAGTTGCAATAGTGAGTTTTCGTAATCTGCAGTGAAATAAAAGTTCTGAATGACGAGCCTTGAAAAAATATTTAAACCTGTTAAACTTTTTTACACTTTTTTCTTATGTGACTGACTGATATAAAGTAATGCATAATTGCAAAGTGGTAGAAAGAGGATACATAGTTTTCATAGATTTTTGAAATTAGGAATTAAAATGTCATCAAATAGTACTCATTCTGATAACTGTAAATGACATCCAGTACAAACAAAGGCCTTCAGAGGCCATTTAAGTAAGGATTAAAGCCCCTTGTGTTTAGTTTAACCTCTATATAAATGCAGCAGTTTCATGAAAGCCTTAGATATTTCCTTGAGGAATTTATTGACATTATATAGACCGAGGAATACACCATGAACATAACTGGGCATGCAAGGGGTAAAGTATTCAGAAAAGCAAAGTTTCTGATAATACAATCAAAGCAATGATGGTACACCAAGGCATACTAAGGCGTCGGAATAGCCTACTCAAAGTCCAGATCTATGGTAACCGTTTATTCATTTTTATGTTCTTATTTGGTAAAATTGTGCTTTAGCTTATTTTATTAAAAAGGAGAAAAAAAAGGTATGGACCAAATATGCAGTCTCTAGATGTGCATATCTGGTAAGGACATATTTCAAAAAGTTGTAATTGGAGCAAAAAGAGGTTCCAAGTATTGATGCAATAGAGGTTAATACATATGCCACACTTTTTTGCGAATCATTTGTCTTCATACTACTTTGTATCGGTCTCTCACTTTAAGTTGCAAACAAACACCATAACATTTGTGGTTATGACAAATAAAACTGCAAAAAAAAAGGGCTTACAGAGTATAAATACTTTTGTAAAGGGACTGTGATAATGTGATCAGTGATATAAATTAATGCCCCTCAAAGTCCAGCAGTTTTAGTGCAGCTTTGCCATCTGTTACTGTCACATTGTGCCCACTGTCACCGGTGTACCTTCATGAATTGGCTAAGGTCACGCTTTTGACAGTGAACTGAGACATTGAAGCAGCCAAAAAGGGTAAATTAGTCTTTCAAAAATGTATAGCAATTCGCTTTGGAGGCCCTCTATGATGTTAACACCTTTGATCTGAATAGACATGTAAAGAAATGTTATTTATTTATTTATTATGAAAAGAAAAATTGCTTTGCATATTATATTGTCTGTATAGCTGTAACAATAAAGACGTCACTGGTAAATTGCCCATTCAGACAACTGAGGACTTTTTATCTTCTCTCTACCTCTATAAAAAACTAGCTGCATGCAGTTTTTTGTGCTTCCATTTATCTGTCTGACAGTACAATAATCTTACAGCAGGTTAATACAGACTTTAAGAAAAAAAAAAACTCTATTGCAGCAAACTATAACACTGACTTGGTTAAAACACATCCTGTAATAGAACATACATATGTCATAGAGTGTAAAGGAATAAAACAGGATCTTGGCAGTTTAATGTAAACGTTAGAATTTTAGAATTTGGTTACAAGAGGTGAAATGTTTGTTGCTAGTGATCATGTGTGACTCTCAGCTATAAAACTACTGTCTGATAAATAACATGGGGGGGATGGAGGGGGTGGTTATCAAATAGCTGTGAGAGGTGAAGGAGCATAGTCTGGGTTGAGGAAGGAGAACCCCTCGAAGTCATCCTGGTTGATGGCTGCGAGCACATCTGGATCCGATGGAGTGAGGACGGATGGGGCTCCTGTGAAGAACTTGTCAAAGTTTTCACCTTTTCTTCCTCCCTGATGAAAAAACGCAGGAAAACGGACATCAATCATCTCGGCAACCCTAAAATGTTACGGTTAAACACTAAAAAGAGCCCCAGCCTTCTCAAAAAAACTGTTACCACGGTCTGCCAACATGTCTCTCCTGCCCACCCACACCCATCTAAGGATGAAAGTCAGCCACATATCTTCTCCACCCCCTTAACCTCGCATGACAGCCATTCTTCTAGATGAAATGAATCTCATTTGGCTAATGGGCCTGGCCTCTAACCTCTGAGCACAGTCAGCTTCCTCCTGCAATGCTTCACCATTGGCCAATGGGATGGCAGACTAGCATGCAGCGAGCTAATGATGACATACATTTGCATATGGAGGAGTAAAAACAGCTCTGGGTTCAAAGGTCCTGTCTGTTATGTCCTGAACTTTCTGAGTGTGAGCACTCTGAGTTAGGGACCAAGAACCTGCTCAGGTTATGAGAGATGGAACAATGGTGAGCAGAACTGACATAGAGGAGAGTCAGAGAGTGAGCATTCAGATAGAAGAATGGGGTAAAAGAAGAGGAGTTCAGAAGAAAGGGGAATAAAAATAGAAGGTTACAAAAAAAAGAAAAAAAATGAAAATTTTCAGCTTACAGTCCTGGGTTTAAATGGTGGCTGTATCTCCAGTCTCTCCAGACGGTCCCAGTCTATCCAGCGGAAGAATGGATGCTCCTTTATCTCCCTTTCAGCATCCTCTCCTCCACCTAGACGCTTGGCGGGGTGCTTCGTCAGTAGCTGAAGTGAGAGGAGTTTGATAGAACATTTCAGACTTTCGAGGATTTCACCTTGTATACTAAAATCTACTGTTTTTAGAGGAAAATTATCTTCCATTTAGTTAAAAAATATTTGATAAAAAGTTCCCTTAACTAAGAATGCAGAAGGCTAGCCCCTGGAGCTGACAACCAATCTTACTGAGTCTGGTTCTCTTGGAGGTTTCTTCCTGTTAAAAGAGAGCTGTTCCCTTCCATGGATGCTCAGTAGGTCAACAACTTTATGCAATCAGCAAGACTTCATTGTAAAGACAAATTTAAGAAAAATGACATAATAAACTACTGCTATGTCTTAGGTGAAACTATACCTGAGTTTTAATCTGTGTTTGGGATTGGAGTGTGCAGGCTTGATGTGATCAAATATTTCTGACTGCATTAAATACTTGATTAAATATTTCTGGGTCTAAACATACAGTAAATGTGTGTAATTTGACATAATGTGATAAAATAATAAAAATAACATAAAATAATAGATCTATAAGGATCTGGTTGACCTGAGCTGAACTGGTTTAAAATAAATCAAATGCATTTAAATGTAACTACATGGAATTAAAGTGAATAGATTTAAAATAAACTGAACTCAACAGAATTTAATTTAACTTAATTGAGGAAGTGAATGAAATACAGCTGACCTGAACTGAATGTATATTAGTTATGTTCAAAATAATCTTGACTTGTCAGTCTTTGATATTAAATAGTAATAAAAGAATCCATAATTTGGATTTGTGACATGTCGCAATAAATGCATGTTCAGTGAGTGAGAGAACATAAAAATAAGCAAACAGTAGAAGCTTGGTGTCTAAATGCATAAACATAAACATTTAGTTAATCTTATTTTATTTTTTTCCCTTTAATTATTTTTTGTTTTGTTAGTCTTTTACTGTGTCTTGTTTTATTGAGTCTTCCACTGTTTGTCTAAGCTGGCAAAACAGAAAAACAGAAATCACTCAGGCGTGAAAGATGCTTAAACAAACACAGCTCAGGGTTCTTCCTTGAATCAAAGGTCTGAAAGCTCATCCAACCTGCTGCACTTTGTCAACACATTTCTTTGCCCCCTCCTTTCAGCTTTACATATGAAACAGAGGACATGACAGTTTCACTGATACAACATGTGGTTGTCAATGAATGGTGAAATGGTGCAGAAAGGAGACCAGCTAGGCAGCCAGATATATGTGGGTAGATATATATGTGGATGTGTTGAAGGATTCAGGGAACAAGTCTATGCACTATATAAAATCAGCTTGGCCTGAGAATATTTACAGTGAAAGAAAGAGACTTTAAATAAGCGTAATCTGTGGTGATGAGGGATTTTTACTGCTGGGACAGAGCAGACTTACTCAGACTTACACAGACTGAGGAGAGTTGATGCAAAATTATTCCACGGATTCGATTAAAGTAAAGGCTAAAATTCCTGGGATTTGCCCTTAATGTTTTGGAGAAAACTCTTTTTCCACATCACTTAAACTCTAATCCTAATAAGTTCTTCATCGTCTCACTATCAGCAACACTAACTTACCACTGACTGATTGCCTGCCTTAGTTTAAAAGATACGGTTAATCATATATCACAGTATAATTGATCAAATATTGATCTTTATTTTCTCAGTGTACTGAATATATACAGTTTTTACTGTTTTACACCGAAATACTAGGCAAACAGTCTTGCTTTTCTTGTTTGTTTGTTTCAAAAATAGTGTTTCTCTTTTCATTTCTATTACTTATATTTTGATTTTCTTTAACTGCATCAACTCCCTGTAGTGGTCTGGAGCACTTCCTTTTTTTAGAACAAGTTTACTGCTGTTTTTACTATTTGCATCGTCTTTTCTATAATTGCAGCATTTCATTTTTGCCGTGACATTTGTAGATAGCACCTTCTTTTGTTGCATTTTTTTTGTGTGTTTGCGTGTTTTGGACTTTGCCTCATACCTGTGCTTGCATCTTGTTTCATTGTTTTCATTTTTTTACTGAGCATTTATACCAGTTGTGTATCACACAATAATGGTGTAGAATAGTTGGCAATGTTTTAAGATATTTAGTCAATTAAATTATTGTATGAATAAATTATTTCATTTATTTATCAATACTAAACATTTTTTTATTTTATAAATACACTCATTGTATTTATAATTCCAGATTCATTTCCATTTTAAATCAGTAAAAGTCATTATATAGTCACTTTGATTGTGCATTAACTGAGTTACTAATTCACTATTTCCTGGGAGAAGTAACTATCGACTATGACTACCTACTTTTTAAAGTAACTTTTCACCAATCTTTACATTTGAAAAAGCAGAACGCTTCTGTTTAAATCTGGCAAAACATTGGTTCTTGTAACAATAAGGTGTTAAAGATTATCTGGTCTGCAGTATATCTCTTATCTCTGCAAATAGAGCAGCATAAAGACCATAACACAGTCCAGGAAGGAATAAGACGCAAAAGGTGCTTGAGGTGAGTCAACACCATATTCAGAAGAGAGTCCTCGACCCAGAGGAAGAAGTGAAACTGCTTCATTAAGGTGTAGAGCCCTTCAATATCTCTGCTGACAAAGAAGAACAGGTAGAAGGGTCTTCCCTTCGTTGATCTGCCTTATCCTTAAAAAGCTCTACTGTGAAGCAGTAGATCAGATCCCAGCAGGAAACTGAAGTGAGTTGAGTCAAAGAGCTTCAGCAGAAACAGCAGCAATAGATCAGGAAACTTAAGAGGCAAGACACTAAGCTGGGGCAACTCTCACACAGAAGAACACAATGATTTTTTTCTGCACAAGTAACCCTTACTGTCAGCACTCAAACATCAATAACTGTCTTCTGAGGTACTCTAAGGACGTGGTAGCAGCTGTGTCTGAGCTCAGAGATAAACTACAGGACATCCTGAAAGACATATTTATCTAGATCTCAATGACAGTCATTGAATGCAATGTTTTACTGTCGGGAACAGAACAAAAGAGCCAATATTTGGGAGAAATCGCACTGCAGATTATAGTGTATAAGTAGAGTATAACTTATACTCTATAGAGAGTATAAGTTTAAGTTTGTGTTTAAGATGTTCTCAGGCACCAATAGCTTGTTTACTACTCTTTTGTATGTAGCATTCATTAACCAAACTTTGGTTTTCTTATTTGGAAAGCATTCTCCTGAATACTTAAGCTGGCCAGATGGATTTTGCAGTTTAACAATAATGAACCCTTAGCCTGGACAATAGAACCACCTCAGCAAGAAAAGCTGGTCTTGCCAACAAACAAATGTTTTCTTTCAGTCCTTCTAAAAAATGTTTTGTACTAATTTGTTTGCATGAAATCCATCATTATGTGATTAAGGCACTATACAGCTGTCTTCATAATGCTGCAAAGAAAGTCCAAATTTTGCAATCTAAACCTGCACAGCTGCAAGGCTTTAGTCTGTTGGAAAATGCACAGAAAGAGCTACACTCATTTTTTTCCTACTAAGAAGACATTCACACAACACTGCCACCAAGACTGGGTGGATTATTCTTAAGGGTGACTTTGAATTTTTCTTTTTTCTCACCCTTTTCAAACAAGTAGTCATAACACTGAGTTAGAGCCTTAAAATGATCATGTTCTTTGAAGACTCTTGCTGACTTGTAAGTTTTTATTAAACTTAAGTTTTTCAAGAAAATACCAGCTCATTTAACATTTCTACACGAATAGAGGGAAATAAAATAAGGGAAATAAAATGGTCTCGGAAATTAATAGCTTCCATCCATCCAGGTTTTCTTTTTTATGTTCTATTAGTTCACCAACTGAAACCAAAATGGTTTCAGTTCTTTGAAGACTCTTGCTGACTTGTAAGTTTTTATTAAACTTAAGTTTTTCAAGAAAATACCAGCTCATTTAACGTTTCTACATGAATAGAGGGAAATAAAATAAGGGAAATAAAATGGTCTCGGAAATTGATAGTTTCCATCCATCCAGGTTTTCTTTTTTATGTTCTATTAGTTCAGCAACTGAAACCAAAATGGTTCCTTCATAATCTGAAATATTCTAATTAAGTAAACTATGGTAAATAGTCTGTTAGTGCATAGCATTTTATTAAGTCCAGGGACTCCATTGTGGCCATACGCCAGCCTGGCGACCTGTCCCGGCTGGACCCTGCCTCTGGCCCATAGACCGCCGGAGATAGGCACCGGCCCCTGACGGAATAAGCAACATAAGATGGATGGATGGACTCCAGTGTGCTTCACACTACATTGAGTCATTCACACACTGATGGTGGAAGTCTACATACATGAAGCCACAGCTGCCCTGGGGCAGACTGATAGAAGTGAGGCTCAGATACAATCACTTGGTGATATGACGATCAATAGCAGATAAAGTCAGTGGAGTGTTTTCCCCCTGGACACAAAAACTGAGAAAGAAGGAGTCGGGGCTCACACTCGCAATCCACTCCACTTCCTGACCCACAGTACCCCCAGTACTCAAAATTAGCCCACCAATACAGTCCGAAAAACAGACTGGAACCAGTGTTATGAATTGATTATATATTACGCCCATTCAAAGTCCAGGCCAAAATCCAATCAATAATCTTGTATCCTAGTTCTCACTCTAGGTAATCTAAATAAACTTCAGCTATTGTGCAAAGAAAAATAAGTATAGGTTTCAGTCTCTTGATATGTAAGGCCTGTAAAGACACTTATAAAAAACAAACACTACCATGATCAAGTTTTTATTCTTAATAGATTTGTAATCTTCCATTGGCTTCTCAATTATGCAGCACAAAAGATCTCAATAATACACATTGGAGTTTGTAAGTGCTATATGACAAAATGTAAAGAGTTAAGCTAAAATTATTCCACTGTATGCCTTTGCCTGGCCCTGTGATTTTAACAATTTGTATTCACAGCGAGCTAGGTTTCGTTAATATCAGTCTAGGTCCGCATTTTCTCTTTCTCATATTTTAAACTGCTTAGAGGAAATAAAAGCTTCTGGCTGTTGCATAACATTTTGCAGAGAGTGCGGACCGCCTGCCTCTAGGATAAACACAAAAGCTAACTTTAAAAAATGTATGCTGGATTAATATCAGTATTCTAATGCACATTATTACATTTTATGATATAAATCTATCCTTAAATTTCTAAAGGCTCAAAGTAAAAGGAGAGGAGAAATGAACTTACCCCTTTGCATACAGCAACAGCTTCCCAGGAAAGACTCTTGGGGTATGAGACACTCTGCTCCATGATGGACTGAAACAGCTCCTCTTCATCAATGCCATCAAATGGCGGCTTGAAGGAGAAAGGGTTGAAAAAAAAGAGTTTAACCCCAGATCAGCATTGCTTCTATCTTTTGAAGTGATTACAAAGCACTGAATTATTTTGAGTGGTACCTGTCCTGCACACATTTCATAAAGTAGCACTCCGTAAGACCACCAATCCACTGCTTTATTATAGGGCTGATATGCCACAATCTACAAAGAACAAGAGAGGGAATTAATTAGAAGAGCAGCAGGGTGAAGATAGGAAAAAATGAAGTGGAAGCAAACAGAATTGTCACAGTAAAAATAGCTGGAAAAGAACTGACAGACATTGGAGGACAAAAATCAGAGTAGAGAAATAAAAATCAGCAAGGAAAAGAATTGAATGATTAAGACAAGACTTTGGATGTATGCGTCAGTGTTTGCCTTATTATGCATTTTCCCCAGTGATTGTGTGAGAGAGCGCACACAGCGAAGAGGGGTACGGGCGAACAATTCCCAGCCCCCGGGGAATTTTTTTGTATCCATTCCAAAATGGCAGATGCAAGAGAATCAATAGGTGTTTACATAAGAGAGTCAATACGTAGTGGTTCCACAGCGAGGTTTATCATATCAAAGACAAGTATAACAGTCAGGTCCTCGCTCTGTCTCTGTCACCCTTCTCTATCTCTCAACAAGTCCAAACATGCTGCTTTAGGTTTATTCACATCTATGCATGCACATATATTTCAGAAATGTCATTTAGCATAAGAAAACACATTGTTGTGCTTCCAAATATTTGGGTTTCACTGAAGTTCTTAAAGAACTCCTCCGCCATTTCAATTGTCTCATTTAAATCAGTACATTTTTAACAGATATACCCCAATATTTTAAAGGAGTTAGTGTAAAAATAAATACTTATAGGTTTAACATGATGTTTTTCACCAAACATTCATTAATTTATTCATTTTTTTTGTTATACAAATATTATTCAGCAGTTATATAGTCAAGACAATAAGAAATATAAAAATTTTACTTTTTCATTTGCAATGTTAACTGAAAACTTTTTCTTTTTTTAATAAAATCTGGTGCCTAAACTGGATGTTCCACAAAAATGCAGATGCAAAAGAGGGTTACACTTACTTTGCTGTTTGCAAAATTAAAAACAAATATTGAAAAGATGTACTTTAGCTGCATTGATATTGAATTGCTTGCTATAGGAATCCCGGCCCTTTAGTGCATATCCTTTGTATTTCTATGCAAACTGTATGATGATATGCGGCAATAAGTTGTACGTAAGCAGAATAGGTAATACATCCAAAATAGGAAAAGTCTGCAACAATATTTTATACATGAAAAAACCTGATATGGGCAGCCTAACTCTGAAAAAAAAAAAAAAAGTCACACACTGTACAGAACTACTCTTTTGAACATTCTCACTGGTATTTTCAATCTCAACATCTTTAAAGAAGGAAAAGTCCTCTTGACATCAACCTAATCTTTAGCTATTTTTTAAAGATCCTCAGACAGATTCGAATGGGACTTTAGTTGGAATTACTCTGAAACAGTGATTTACCCCAAGCAAGAAGAAAGATGTTTTTGTGAAATTAAAATGCGATTTAAAACCTTAATCTGACAGAGTTATTAAAAGTATATGACCTAAAGGTGTGCAACACACATGCTGTACACCTTAATATCATATTTTTCTACTGCACATTTATCTACCCATTGTGATTACACAATAACTGAGATTTCTCTGACGAGCTGTCCCTGATTTAAGGTGACACCTCCTCCCTCTGGTGAAAATTTTGCCCTCCGTTTCAGAAAGAAGTCTCCTTTGCTGCATGTCATCACTTTTTCCTGATTCATATGTCGGCTGGCAGTTAACAAATGCACCAACTAACTCACAACCAGCTTGGTTTCCTTAGATAGACATGATTATTACATCTAGGTGCAGAATTTGACCTTTTAAGTTTGGGCATTTAAAAAGATTGGGCATTTACAAGCAGTTTAAGACCAGAATTGGTCAAAAAAAGCGGTTTAAAACAGATTTGTCTAATCCTACATATATCTAATTTTCTAATCCTATATAACAAAAGAAAAAGTCTAGTCCTCTTTCTTAAACAGAAGACAGAATATAATATGTGAGTTTTATATTGTTACACTTAACTTGTCCCACTGGGACAGCTATGACCTAAATTCAAGTTAAATGGAAATGTTATCAAGGCAGAATCTTTAGAGTTTAGTGTTTGTAATTTCGAACAATAAAGGGTACAAATCCCAGCAAATTAATTTAGCAATTGTAAATATTATCTATTTAAATAACTAATTAAAAATTACTGGCTACATTATAATAGTGAAGCTGGTTTAAGAAGGTCTCTGAAGGGCAATGGCATGATCTGTACAACATTGTAAGGAAACGGGTCCACTGCTAATTGAATCATGTGAGGTTAATTATAAAAAAAAATGCCGACAAGGTCAGGGAGGACAGATCAGATGAGAAGAGCTGCTGTGATGCATCTGGATGTCTAAAAGTGATGCAAAACAAGTCATGCATGCAAAGAGGGGTGAAAGGATGGATCTGATACTATAGGATGAGCCCAGGGACTCAGAAAACCTCAGGGGCGATGTAGTCGGGAGTGCCGCAAAATGTGCGAGTGGTCTCGCCCCCGAACATGCCCTCCCTGCACATCCCGAAGTCAGCAATCTTTATGTGGCCCTCACTGTCGAGCAGCACATTATCCAGCTTTAGATCTCTGAGAAAAGAGAGAGATAAGTTAGCCCACTATAAATCATCTTGATACATTGCATCTTCATCAGTCAGTGGCTCTAAAAAGGCACGATAAATCTGTGTCAGGTCTGTGTTGTACTGTGACAACCTGGCCACGTCTTTACCTGTAGATGATGCCTTTGCTGTGAAGAAAGAAGAGGCCAACTGCAATCTCTGCTGCATAAAACCTAGAGGGAGAGAGGAGGAGGAGGAGGAGTAAAGCACTCTGGCTACTTTATCTTTCAGGAAATTGATCAAGGTTTCTTTTATGGGGTGGAAACATATAGAAGGATGATCAGAAGAGGGGGTTGAGAGAGTGATGAAAGAGGAGAGCAACCAAACAAACATGAAAGGAATCTTAATAACAAAAAAGGAAATAGGGAACAGGGTAAAAAAATTTGTTTTAGTTGACTGATCAAAGATTATAGATTGGATGAAGAGCCAGAGGGAGGAAAACTGTGATAAGAAGAATAGATTAGAGTAAGGAAATAAGAGAGGGGTGCTACTTGAGCTGATGGCTTTTTTATGAGTCACCAGATATAATGAATAAAGCTAAGAGATGACTGAGCAGGTAAGTGAATATGGAGATAAAAGAGAGAAATGTAATGAGACTCATGTAGATGAAGGCGGAGATCAAAGCTAGACTTTATCGGACTACGTACGCTGCATGCGGCTCTTTGAACTTCCCGACTTGCTGAATGTGAAACATCAGATCTCCACCATTGACATATTCCATAACATAATATAGACGGTCCTGCAGAAACAGAACACACATACTGAACACAGGCCACCAAAAAGTTTCCCACACCTTGTACTTTTAAAATTTGGTTACTTTATAATTTAATCACAGATTTTCAAAGACAAGTTGTTTCTCTCTGAGTTTTATACAACAGAAAAACAGGAAGATGTGCATAGACGTGACATGGAAAATTTATAGTTTTTAAAGTTAATTTTAGACCCTTCTATCAATAAGATTAAAGCAAGTGTGATGCATTTTGATTGATTTGTCAAGACCTCAGCAAGTTGTTCCTGATCATTACTAAACAAACACCTTCAAAGAGACAATGGAATGCATCTGATAGTTCAGGAAGTTTTTTTTTTTAGGTTGCATCCTAAGTGTTGAAAATATTAAATATCAATCATCAATCTAACTTCTGATAATTGAAAGAGTGCGGCACAACCACAAACATACCAGGATATGACCATCAACCTAAACTGACAGGCTGAGGAAGGAGAGAATTAATCAGAAAAGCAGGCAAGATGATAGTAGCAATTTTGAAAGACCTACAGAAATCGACAACCCAAGGGTGGACAAACTTTTTAGATCTTTTTTTTTTGGGAAAACAATGAATATTTTTTCTTCATTTACTTCATATTGGTCTTTCACACCAAATCCCCTTAAATTCAAATAAAGACTGTTTTTGTATTGTGACAAAATGTGAAAAGGGGCACTTTTGCAAAATGTCAAATTCCCCAAATTTAAAAAGCACTCTGCTAAATACAGTCCTTCAGGGACAAGGGCTATGTTAAAGACATTGATTTAACTATTTCATTTAATAAAAGCAAAAGCAGCCAGTCTGCACTGTAACAACTCCTTAGAGCCTAAATGTCAAATCTCTTCATGGACCATTTAAGAACACTAATATGGTTCAGATACATGCACACATACCTCGGTCTGAAAGGCGCAATAGAGTGATGTGAGGAAGTGAGGACGAGAGGGGAGGGCCAGAACTCTCCTCTCCACCAGGGCACTCTCTGTGTCCTCGTCCTGGAAGAGAACGTCTTTTTTAAGGACCTTCACTGCAAAAAGACGCTCGCTGCCTCGCTCCTCTGCCAGCAGCACCTAACCAGGAAAAAAAAAGGAAGAGAAATCATGTCAGATATTATAACTGAAGAATAATGAAAAAAAAAAAACTGGTTTGACATCTCAAATTGTGCAAATCCAAAACCTTATATTACATTTAACATGTTAAGACATTTCTGATTCAAGAATTATCCCAAACTCAAAACAACCGTGGTCTTCTCAACTATTTTCTGTGTGAGTGTCTCCAGGTTGAAACTGACTTACATTTATTTTCTTGTAAGAGGGGAAATCTAAAAAATGAAGTAATCTGCAAGAAGTAACAATTTACAATGAATCGCTTGCAATTGAAGAATACCACAAGACATTAAATTCATGCTTTATTTCTGGCCACCACAAGTTCATTGCAAAAACATCTTAAAAGTTGCATACTTGGTTTATTTAGCTAGGTTTTAAATTGCTTTGAGTTGATTTTCTTTTTTTTCTTGCAGTCTTAATAGCCATCAAATGTCTCCTTGAACCCTGTACCTCACATCTTATTGTGTTTCTGTACATCCTTTCCAGATCCCTGGCTTCTTTAGTTTATTGTTATATCCTGTTTTATTCTTTTATAGTCTCCCATAGTTTCATTTTATTATTACTATTATTATTATTGTTATTATTAGTAATATTATTATTTTTAGCTTAGTTGCTACTATTTAACACAGACTTTTTTTTGCTCACCACTCCTTCTGCCTGAGTTCTACTTTGCATTTGAATTTGGATTCTTCCATAAAATCTTAGGGGTCACTTTATGGACAAATCTTGACAGCGTAACAAATTTGATCGTATGAAAACCTAACTGAAGAAACAGTACCCTCAAGGTGGGTGTCCCATGTAGTAAGGTGTTGTATAAATTCAGTGTGCTCCTAAATGTATTGATGAAAGGTTAAATGGCTTTTGATTTTAAATGCAGTGTCCTGCAGCTTGCAGGAATAAAAATACCATCATCTAAAAAGGCATTTTGGGATTTCCCCAGTGATCTAAAAATCTAAAAAGGCATCTTGGGAACATGAGAAGAAAACAGAACATATGCAGCTGGTTTTACTAATGATTTTAAAGAAAATGTATCCAGACTCATAAAGGACATAATGCATCTTTTTTCCAATGATGAAAAAATGATGTTTGAGTATTTTCTAAAAAATAGTCCTTAAAAAATAATGTGTCTTCTTTAATTACAGATTGTGAAACTGTGGTGAATTCCAATAAATATTCACCTGGAAAGTTGAGTAAGTAGAACAAATGTAAATCATTTATGTATCATAATACTGTTCATATTGCAATGCACAGCCAGCCTTTAAAAACATAAACCCGCAACCCCTCTTTAACGCAGTTGGTGATATTCTTTTTTTTGGCAAGTTAGAAAAACATATTTGTGTGAATTACACTTAATAAATTTAAACCCTATGATCTTAACTTTAATCACTGCTCCCTGAATATATAACATAAATAATCAGTTAAAGGAAGAGATCCGGCTGTCTATAACAGTCTAAGAGATTGCTTTTATAATAATGCAATTTCAACAGAGAGATGCTTTAAAGAGTGTTTCATCTCTGGAGCTTAAGCCATTTTTAAGAGAAACAAAATCAAATATGTCTTTCTTTGGTCACTTCTGCATCTTCTGCGTTTGAGGCTCAAAGGAGGGACAAGTGCAGGATAGGTAATATTGCTCCTTTTTGCAGGACTTCAAAGTGTTTGTTCCAGTGTTCCTGTGTGTTCAGAGCAATCTTCTTTTTAAATCCAGTGGAAAAAATAACCATGGTTGTTTAAGCAAAATGGTTTCAAAACAAAACAGTTTGCACTGCTACATAGTAAGCATTAATATGCTGCTGCTGGCTGTCGCTTGCTCACTGCTTCCATTCCTTAAAGAGGTCAAGGTTCATAAATACTCCTAACACTCAAGCATGGCTACTCTGTATAGCTGCCTGGGACTGTGAAACGTAAGATAATTGAGTCCCATAAAATGGAAGATGATAGTATTTTCATAGAGCAGTTCCCCTGCTTTATAATGTGATTAAAAAACACAGAAGCGGACGAAAACTGTTGAGGTCAAATTGAGGCCAGAATAATAAAAGACACTTTTCACAAGGCTTTTAGGAAGATTAGCAGGAAATAGAACTGGGCCCAAATGTTCTAGTATGCTGCTGTATAAATTCAGTCTCCTAAGAAAAATTCAGCAGAAGAAAACTATTCATTAATGGACATTTTCAAAGCAAATATTACCAGATTATATCAATTTCTTAGTAAACACAGGCTGTACAGTTTATACTGTTGCCTCGTAACAAAAAGGTATTTTCTGTGTGAATTTCGATTGTTTGCCTTCTCATGCATGGATTCTTTACAGGTACTACAACTTTTGCTTAAAATGTAAAAAATGCATGCATTCTGGGTTAATTGGCCAATTTAAACTACTATTAAGTGTGAGTGAGTATAGTTGTGCTTCTCTCAAACTGACCTCAGGATATACAACTATAAGGAAGTAGAAGAGATTAATTCTCTGTATTATACAACTCTTCAGCAGTTTATCACAAAATTTGATTTGACAGTTTTTTAATTTTGTAACAGCGACATGTAGAACATCTCCCTGGAAGGAAAGAGTTCAATAAAACATTAATGAAAATACAAGAATGAAACATTTTCAAAAACACAGAAAATGAAGAAAGGATGACTTCAACAGCAAGGTAGAAAAAGAAATTTACAAAATTTTAGCCTTTTGCTCATAGCGGCAAAAAGCAAAAAACAAAATCAATTAATCTGAAAACAAATGCAGATTGCAATAACTGCCAAAGAAGATCTAAAGAGGTGTCTTCCAACTTTTTAGATATAATGAGTTTGCTTTATGATTTTATGTTTTTTAACAAATGCAACCAAATGCAATGCTGTCCATAAAGTTTAAATTTAACTGTGATATGTTTGGATTTAAGATTGATCAATTGAGTGAAGATTACTACACTTTACCTTGATTCATCAGTTCATGAGAAGAGGTCAAAACTATCTTTGGATTTTATTTGCATTTCATGATTCAGTCCGACACAAAGTAGTACTAAATTGAAAGTTAAATGTCTTTTACATAAAATATCAATATACAGGCAGAGATTTGAGATTGTTATAAGAAAACATGTGAAAAAGCTCACTGTGTACTATTAGATAAAAGGCTCTGTATTAGTTTTGAGATAAATGCATCTAAAGACGGAACTTGCTCAAGTTTTATTTAAATGTGTAAATAAAAAGTGTAAAAAGTGATAACTTTGTCAAGACAGAAGTACGCTCAGTCTGGCATAATGAAGTGTTTAATCAAAGAGAAATCGAGCCTGAAGATTTCCAGACACATTAATGTCATAAATGAAAAAAAGCAAAGCAACTCTTTGGTTATTACCAAACATTAAAAATACATTGAGAAGAGAATTGAAATTGGCTGCTTGTGGGCAGCTCTGACTGTTAATGACGCTATAATTTTCCCCATTGAGAAACCCCCATACTGCTTTTAGTAAAAATTATATGGTCAGGATCAGTGAAATACACTGACATCCCTGTTCAAAACTGTTCTACCAATTCTGCAAAACTGCACTATAAGGGGTTCCTGGTTATTGGAGATAAAGTATCTCATTTCAAATTGAATGGAGGCGAAAATTACACTTGTTCCTATTTTATAAATATGAAAATGCAGATTCAAAAAAATGCTTCTTGCAGAAAATGATGTGAGCAGCCACTGTGAGAAACATTGCGGTCCCTCTTTGATTGTGTCTCCTGCTTTGTCTCATGACTTCACTCATATTCCCCAAAAAACTGGACTCATCATCTTTCATACTTTTACCAATCAGAGCAACACATACTTTTTCTCATTTCCGGTGTGATCCAATTTTCTTTCGGTCATTTTGCTACTTTCTGCAGCTCAGTAATCCTCCTCTGTTTCTTTCCATCTCTGTCAGTTTCATTCTCATTTTTCCTCACTCAGCAGCCCCGGGGTCCGTCTCTCCTCTTTCTTTTTTTTCCTCACTCATCTTACGTAAGTTTAGACTATTTCTCCTGTCCTCTGAGGACTCTCTGATAGTTATGAAACAGCACTGGGGGATTTCGTGAAGAGGGGAAAGGACTCAAAACAGAAATGTAATTTTTCTTCTTCATCTACATGGGAATTAGGGAGAGAACAGACCATCCCTTGAAATGAACACCTCGATGAAAGCAAACTTTGAAGCATGTACCAGTTTGAAGGAAGACTCAGGGTCAAGTGAAACATTTAGCAATTCTAGAAGCAGCTTTAGTGATCTAAATGAAATGCTAGCCAAAGGTCAAAAACCAAAGCAGAAATTCTTAAAGCCAGGAAAATATGTTTTTGTTCTCAGCACAGTTGGCCACCTTGACATCATTGGCAGCTGCTGGATGAGAGGCAGCAATTGCGAACTGAGAGGATGACATTTCCTCTCTGAATCTGCTGGGATTACTGTACCTTGCCAAAGCTGCCTTTGCCCAGCACCATGAGGAAATTGAAGTCATGGATTCCCACTCTGACTTTTCCAGGACCTGGAGAGTGTATGGGTGGGCAGGACGGGACAGGGGTTGGAGACAGGACCACGGGAAAAGGCTCAGGCACCGGGGCAGCCAAAACCTGAGGCAGAGAGGGTGTTGTGACATCTGGCTGAGGTTCCTGGAGGATCATAAGGAGAAATATTATAGCAAAACCGAATGGTTAAGTCTAATTGTACTAAAACTAACCCATAAAAAGGAAAACAAAAAACTATTGTACCCCTTATCATTCAAAACAGCCCTGCAACCTTCTGGAAGCAAATTCTAACAAGGAAGTTAATTTTTTATGTGACAAAAATGTATAAATAATTTAGAAAAATGGAAATTTGTAAACCAAAATCTGAAGGGTGGAATGCATATGAATTATTGACCCTTAAGCCAACAACTAAACACAATTAAAAACATCCAAATAGCACAGGTCACAAAATAAGAAATAGAGTCTAACCTTTCTGAGGAAAAGTAAATAAAGTAAAGTACATTTTAATTATATATCATCTGTCTCAGATAGTAGTAAACTATACAACAATTAGAAACTCTCAATGTAGGAGAACTCTAATGAAAAAAACAACAACATAAAAGTTGAGGTTGTAAAGACTTGAAACCTGTGAGTTCACCCTCCAAACATACTCTATCTATATATGCAAACTTAGTATATTGCTAGGAAGACTGACCATACACTAAAAAAACTAAATTTACAGGTTTGTAAAGCTAGTAGAAAGATATATAAACGGATATATAATATACAAATTAAATAAAAATACATACAAAATAAAAGACATATACGTTTTTGATGTTAATTGGACAAAAGGAATGTAAATATTCTAAGATGTGCTAGAGAAAAATATGCTAAAATAACTCATAATTCATATTTTTATTGAATTAATTTTAAAAAGGAGAACAATGATCGAAATGATGAAAAATCTACAAAAAACAATCTATTATCTAGATAATTGTTGGCCCATGATGGTTAAGCAAAAAAAAAAAAAAAAAGGGGGGGGGGGGGGTTGCTCCATCCAAGCATATTTATTATATGCTACATACTTCATGTACATGCTTCTACAGACGTCCTCCTACCTGCAGATCTGGATCCGGTACTGGGATGTTATAGTACTCCCCCTCATCCTGTGCAAGCAGTTTAAACCAGCCACAGATAGGACGTCTGAAGATCTCACTGACGCCGAATGACAGCGCTCCCATAAAATCATTCCTGGACGTCCGGTCCCAGTCCCACACCTCCACAGACAGACGCCTGTCCCACTGGTTGCCACGAACTGAGCTGAGGAAACCCAAAACTCAAGCTCAAGTGGGGTATCTTACACCAGGGCATGTAAGTGTCTATCATACAATGGTACAGAAAGTATTCAGACTCCTTTACCTTTTCCCGTTTCATTGCAGCCATTTGCTGAAATCAAAAAGGTTAATCTTATTTCTCATTAATGTACACGCAGCACCCCATCTTGACAGAAAAACAGAAATGTAAAGCATTTTGTAAACTTATTAAAAACGAAAAACTAAAATATCAGATGGTAGTAAGTATTCAGACCCTTTGCTGTGACACTCATATGTCACATGGTGTCCATTTCTTCTGATCCTCCTTGAGATGGTTCTACTCCTTCATTGGAGTCCAGCTGTGTTTAATTAAACTGCTTGGACTTGATTAGAAAAGGCACACACCTGTCTATATAAGAGCTTACAGCTAACAGTGCATGTCAGAGCAAACGAGAATCATGAGGTGGAAGGAGCGCAGAGACAGAAGGTTACAAGGTTACAAAAGCATTTCTGTAGCATTCAAGGCCCCTAAGAGCACAGTGGTCTATATAATCCTTAAATGGAAGAGGTTTGGGATGACCAGAACTCCTCCTAGACCTGGCCGCCCAGCCAAACTGAGCAATTGCGGGAGAACAGTCTTTGTGAAAGAGGTAAAGAAGAACCCGAAGAACACTGAGACTGAGCTCCAGAGATGCAGTAGGGAGATGGGAGGAAGTTGCATAAAGTCAACTATCATTGCAGCCCTCCACCAGTCAGGGCTTTATGGCAGAGTGGCCCAGGGGAGCCTCCCCTCAGTGCAACACATAGGAAAGCCTGCATATAAAACACATGAAGGAATCCTATACTAAGAGACAATATTATCTGGTCTGATGAGACCAAGATTTACGTTTTTGGCTTCAATTCTAAGCAGTATGTTTGGAGAAAACCAGGAACTACTCATCACCTGCCCAGTACATCCCAACAGTGAAACATGGGGAGCGGCATCATGCTGTGGGGCTGTTTTTCAGCTGCAGGGACAGGTCCACTGGTTGCAATTGAAGGAAAGATGAATGCGGCCAAGTACAGAGATATATCCCAGAAGTAAACCTCTTCCAGGGTGCTTAGGACCTCAGACTGGGCCGAAGGTTCACTTCCAACAAGACAATGACCGTAAGCACACAGCTAAAATAATAAAGGACCGGATTGGGAACAACTCTGCGACCGTTCTTGACTGGCCCAGCCAGAGCCCTAACCTTAACCCAATTGAGCACCTCTGCAGACCTAAAAATGGCTGTCCACCAACGCTCACCATCCAACCTGAACTGGAGAGGATCTGCATGAAGAATTGCAGAAGATGCCTAAATCCAGGTGTGAAAAACTTGTTGCATCATTCCCAAGAAGACTCATGGCTGCACCAGCTCAAAAGGGTGCTTCTGCTCAATATTGAGCAAAGGGTCTGAATACTTGTGACGATGTGATACTTCAGTTTTTTTCTTCTAAATAAATTTGCAAAAAATGTAACATTTCTGCTTTTTTTTTGTCAAGATGGGGTGCTGAGCGTACATTAATTAACATAAAATTAACTTTATTGATTTTAGAAAATGTAATGTAAACAAAGAGGGAAAAATTTAAAGGGGTCTGAATACTTTCCGTACCCACTATAAAAGATACTAAAAAGTACAGAAACTCTAACAATAAAGGATGCCCAAAAACAAGCATATTTTAAGGTTAGAATCATCCATCTCGGTATTTTCATATTCTCTATAGGATTTTTATCCTTAATGGATTGCATTTTAGTTCCTATCTTGGATTAAATTTCACAGGGACTCACAAGGTAAAACTCTCGTTCCAGACCGGATTAAGTGTTGAGCGGATGGTCTTAGTCTTCTGTTTGCTGTGACTCTTTGGGTCTGGAATCAGTTTAAGTTTTACATATGGATCTGACAAACCATTCGGATCCATTGGCATCAGATTGCGAGCCTCCCGGACTTCAGGTTTTTAACAGAATAAATAGACAACAAAAAGAAAAAAAAAAAACATTTAATTATCTGGATATAAGGTGTTTTTTGATCCATATCCCCAAGGATCTCACCAGTGACGTAGATATCCTCTTTGTCTCCTCTAATGGTCAGATGGATTCTTCCTCTTTTCTCAGTGTGATCCTGACCACAAAGACTGGGAACACTGGTTTCACATCGCCGATGGACGTTCATGTCACAACCTTATTGTGCAAAACATACAAGCAAAGCACTTCGTCTAAGATAAAAAAACATATTAAGACAAAGAATATAAAAAAAATATATGTATAAAAAAATAAAATGAACTACTTAGATTGCCATATTTTCTTTAGGGATAGTTGAATACAAGTATTTGAAGGCCAATGCAGATGCTGGTTATTTTTGACAGTCTAACCAATACCTAAAATTTGCTGCTAATATTATGAGGCTAATTCTTAGGTCCAGTTTTGAATTTTCTTCCGCCATTCAAATTATAAAAATGTCACAATGACAAAAAATGTAACGTCAGTCTAGAACTAGAAAATCCCTTTATTGTCCTACATCCCTTTATTTTCACTACGTGTTTCACTTCTTAAAGGTAAATTTCCCATATTATTCCCATGCTTTGTAGTCTTTTTACTGAGATTCTTAACAAACAGCCTAGTCAGAGTCTCTCATAACGTCTACCAGGCCTGTTGCTGTGTACCATCTATCAGTGCAGATCAAATAGTAAGACTATTATACTTTTCCCTTACTGACAAAAAAGGGGGGAAAAAGTTTTTCTTAAATACATGTACAGTATATGTGGTTGGGCAAAACTTAGTCCTGAATTAGAGCTAAATGAGAAGCAAAAAAAACTCTTAATGAAGCTATATTGCTTTAAAACTACAGTTGGTAAAATATATTGTTTCTGAGGCAGCTGGCTCTCCTGGAACAGATAACCAATATACCAAATCAGCTAATATCAATGTGCTCTACTTCTGTTATTCTACAAAGAGTGAAGTAACTTTTAGGCTGACGTCTGCTTTAGAACCAATATAACTATTACAGAATACCTGTAATCTATGCACAAGTTCCATTATTTAGCTTAAAGAGGAAAAAGGATAAAAAAAAAAGATTCTCATCTCAGTTTGAGATAGTTATATCAGCATTATACCATCCCTTATTTAAAAGATGCAGAGGTGAATTTTATGTTTTCTTCAAGCCAAAATGAAACTAAACTCTCCAGTTTGCGGGTCAACACTGTGGGCTGCTGTGTACAGGGTCAAAATGAAAGATGGAACTTACTGGTACATTTCATGCCCTGGTGTATGAGTCCATACAGAAGTGATCCACAGTGGTCACAGAATGTGGGGCTCGAGTAAGTATGGATCTTAAATGTGTGCTGACTCTTTAAGTCCTGAAATGAGAAAACAAACAAAACAAAAAATGAACAAACTGAGAATTCACACATAACACATTATGTCTACAAGCAAATGTTTTCACTCTTATGATAGGTGAATGGCGACTGAAGATATATGCAAATTGGATTTCCCCACCGGGAAAGGAAATTCTGTGCATCCAGGCAAGGCCAGTGTATATTTACCATGCAGGAAGGAATGAATCATTTTTATCTCTTAATAACCGCCCCGCCACCCTCTCTCCCAAACTGTATTCCCTCCATTGTTGCTATTAATAACTGCTGTCACCCCACTTCTCCTGAGGAAAAGACAAATCTCCCAAATATCCTCAAGATGCCACACACAGGAGGGCTGAGGAGTCGGCTGCTCTTGCTATCGTCTAATTCTCACTCTTATCAGTCTTTCTCACCCCCCTTCTGCATCTCCCCCCTCCGTCCCTATCTCAACCTCTCTGCATCCCCTTGCAGGATGACATGACATGAGCATTGATGTCACTGATGAGATGCAGGAGAAGCCTGGATTGACAAATGAGTCACGCATACTTGCCTTGGGCAATAAGGGGAATGGCTTAATGTGTAGATGAGGGTGTGCACTTTACTGTAAGTCCTGACAAAGGTGGGAAACTTGATGATACAAATGGAAGTGCAGCAGGCGATAACAGGAACACTCACATCGGGCCTTGGGGCAGCCACAGAGCCGGGACATGTGAAGGTAACAAACTCGTGGCATCTTTTATGGACCACGAAGCTGCAAACTGGGGAAAACAGGAAGTATGAGCATGAAAATTTTTTATCAGTTTTGCAGAGAGATATATCAGAAAAATAAAAACAAAAGATAAACAGAAAAATACAGGTTAATTTCTACCTTGACACTGGAATCCCTGCTTGCCAATACCCCTAGATGAGAATAAAATATGGATTAGGACACAGAAACAATCTACTGTGATTCCGTTTTCAAAGTCATTGTTCAGCCCCATATAAAGAATTTTTATTAAGGAAAAGAAAGCAGAAACACTGTAGAAACTCGATAACAAAAAACTCATCTTGTGACTTGTTCAAACAGAAGCACACAGTAACTTAATTCTAGAGACCTGGCCTGCTCACAGTGTCTCCTCAAAGGTTTAATTGAATAATTAAAATCATTGATTGGCCAAAGCTTCCATTCAGCAGCTGGCCCGGTTTGAATCAAATTGAACTGGTTGTTCAGAAAGTCAAACACTTGAGACATGGTAGAAAGCTTGGCTACAATCATCCGATATGTTTAAACTGACCATACTGTAATGACTGATCTGCAATCAGTTTCCCATGATTAAATATGAGGTTGCGGAAGGTGATCTGATCCTTGATCAGCATAAAGAGTGAGCTTTCCTTGGCCCTGGTATTATCATAATACATATGTTTTACCAGCAGGGGGCGATAAATAACAAGATATGTATTATATGCAGAGAACTGCATCCCATGAAGAGCAAATATTTAAATATAGTGCAGTACTTCTTTATAAAAAAAAAATGCTGGGAAACTATATTTGCTCTTTTTGTAAAAGTGTTTTCATAAATTTACAAATGCAAAAAAAGTCCAGTTATTCAGAGACACGTTTAAAAGTTTTAAATCTATTAAGCATTGGAGGTGACAGAGCATGAATGTAGTTCATGAATGTAGTTGTTCTATTTGTATAAGACTTCACTGCATAGTTTGTTGACCGCATTTTAAGTCATAGTTAATTATTTCCACTCAAGATTTAAAGAACAATTATCTTTCTTGAATGATCTCTTCTCCAATTTAGTCAGAAAAGATGACAGCATTTGAAAAAAAAAAGTATCACTTCTCTGTAAATTGACCATTTGACTAATCAATTGTCAGATCCCTTTTTTTTTTTTTTTTTTTTTTTTTGCTTTGTTTTGATGCTGATATACTTTTTTTTTTTATATATACATTTTTTGTTATTCTTTCCTTTTCTAAGGCCTTGAAAAAAGCATTAACAACCCTTGGACTTTTCTACTGCTTGTCAATTTTACACACTTTTTTTTTTCACCTTTGTATTATCATTACACTGTCACAAGTACAGAGCAATGAAATTATCTTTCTGCATTAAACCCATCCCCTTGGGTAGCAGTGGGCTGCCATTGTGCGGTGCCCAGGGCAGTGTGGGGTTAAGGGACTTTGTTCAGGGACCCAGAGTGGCAGTCTAATAGATTGGGGCTCCAACTCAGAACCTCTGGATTCCATGCACAATGTCCTAACAACTAGGCCGCCACTCCTGTAATGCACTGCACACGTGAAGAAAGGGTTGAAGGAAAATAATTAATAATTTCCACATTGTGTACAAACAGAAATATGAAAATAGTGTGCATTTACTTTTGATTCATTTTATTTGGTACTTTTTAGTTAAATGCGTTAGCATTTACAGTTGCAACTATATAGGTGCTTTGCTTTAACAGTTCTATGTCAATCAGCTCATGCTCAGTCAAACTGGATTGACAGCATCTGTAAAACATAAGTTTTCAAGTCTTGCCCCAGAAAGATCCATGTATTTGGTTTGATCTTTAATTACGTGACATCTAAAAAGCAGATGATTGCAAGTTTTATTTTTGATTATTAGGGGGCTAAAAATGGATCAATATCATACTTCAGTTTTCTTTTTAAAATCTTAAGTTATGCACTACTTTGTGCACTCTACCCTTTTCCGGCTCAAGACCATGGTCTCGGATTTGGAGGCACTGATCCTTATCCTGGCCGCTTCACATTCGGCTGCGAACCGCTCCAGTGAGAGCTGTCCTGATAAAGCCAATAGAACCACATCATCTGCGAAGAACTGAGATGCAATCCTAAAGCCACCAAAACAGATCCCCTCAACATCTTGGCTGCGCCTAGAAATTCGATCCATAAAAGTTATGAACAGAATCTGTGACAAAAGGCAGCCTTGGTGGAGACCAACCCTCAACGGAAACGAGTCCGACTTACTGCCGGCAATGCGGACCAGGCTCTAACACGTCGTAGAGAGACCTAACAGCCCTTATTAAAGTGCTTGGTACTTCATACTCCCGGAGCACCCCCCATAGGACCCCCCAAGGGACACGGTCGAATGCCTTCTGCAGATCCACAAAACACATGTAGACTGGTTGGGCAAACTCCCACGCACCCTCCAGAATCCTACTGATGGTATAGAGCTGATCCAGTGTTCCACAGACAGGGCAAAAACCACACTGCTCCTCCTGAATCCAAGATTCGACTATCTGACGGACCCTCCTTTCCAGAACCCCTGAATAGGCCTTAACAGGATGGCTTAACAGTGTGATTCCTCTGTAGTTGGAGCACACCCTCCGGTCCTGTTTTTTAAATAGAGGGACTACCAACCCAGTATGTCAGTCCAGGGGAACTGCCCCTGATGTCCACGCAATGTTGCAGAGCTGCGTTAACCAACAAAGCCCCACAACATCCAGAGCCTTAAGGTAATCAGGGCGTATCTTATCCACCCCTGGGGCCCTGCCACCGAGGAGCTTTTTAACCATCTCAGTGACTTCAGCACCAAAGATCGGAGAACCGGACCCCGAGCCCCCATTCTCTGCTTCCTCAATGGATTTGAGTTTGTGGGATTAAGGAGGTCTAAGAAATAGTCCGCCCACAGACATATGGCGTCCTGAGTTGAGGTCATTAATATTATGTTAAATATAAACAGTTTATCAAATATTTTATATATAGGCAACATTTTCTAACTTGCTTTCTTGGCTTTTATCCCAGTTGCTCCAGGTTTGCTGCTCACTTCACGTGTAACATGTAGATCCTCATCCCACCTCAGTTTAAATACTTCTTAGTTTCTTTGTTCTATGTGAGAGCCTTTGCATTTGTTTCACCTTGTACTACTCATCGCCATGTCAGATTTTATTCCTGTTCTCTTTAGTTCTTGATTCCTCCATTTGTGACTTCCTGCCTTCCAGCACATTCAGCTTTCTTTTTGCTAAATAAAAGTTTTATAGCTCACCTGTCTGCCTTGTGACTGTCAGACTGAATTTGGGAGCTCATTCACACAGTGCCTTTAAAGATATTGTAGCTTGGGGATTCAGTGAAGCGAGCTTGCATTTAAGAGTTCCTCTAACTCAGTTATTGTTGTTAGGGTTGCTGTTTTCAAAGACAGCACACTCCTTACAAAGCATTTGCAAAACAACTGAACTGGAGAGGATCAAACCCCCAGAGGGAGATATTGAAATCATTTTTCAATTGATGTAGTTTATTATTACAAATATATGCATGGACAAGTCTTAAACTTGACACAAAAGCTAAACATGGTTGTTGAAATCTATAACCATTAGAGATGTTCTTTTTTCAGTTTGGAGAGTGTATGACAAAATGTAGTATTAGGATTAAATAGCAATCTACTAGCTGTAGGAGAAATGAATGTGTTTTACTGTCAGATTGAAAACACTATGTTTGTTTGCAAAACACAAAGTAGGAAAACAAGCAAAAAGATTTAAATGTCAACAAATATGAGAGTAGTATCTTTAAAATGAATGCATTTTAGCGCTTACTGATATTCTTTGCTAATAACACGCATAAAAAAGGGTTTGTGAAACTGGTGTTATCTGTCTCATCTGACTATTTTACCACTGGTAATTCTAGAAACAACTGGAACTTAATAGATCTAATGCTTCCTTTAGGGAATATGCTTAAATAAGCGCTCCACCTCTTTTCCACCATCTGCCCTTGTCATGCTGTCAGCAGGATGTAAATGTGTGTTAAGCATTTAACTGAAGGCAACTTAAACCACAGGTGAAAATATTTTGTATATAAAGGCATTTATCTAATAGCAGAACAGGTTCTTGCTCTTTACCTCATGTTTTTTTTAAATCCTAGAATATTTTAGTAATTTGTTTTTGGTTTGGTGTGTACTAAAACACTGTAAATTTGAATATATAAAATTATTTTTATCACGTTCTTTGTATTCGAATGTTGGTCTAATGGGAAAAAGGTTACTTAAGGCTGAAATTAAAAAAGGCAGCATTCAACAATAAAAATGCGGATCTCTTGTAACGATGTTTAGAAAATGAGCAAATACTGCAGTCCTTCATTGTTTGATAGCACTTTAAACATTTTTGGAAGCTCTAACTTATAATTCAAACATATTTATTAGTTGTTTAAAACACAAAAATTACAATAACAATTTTTAAGGAAACCATCATAGCCGTAATTACTCCTGCTTTTAATATTTGTATAGAGGTGACAGACTGGAATTAAATGTTGATTCAGTCTTTTTTTGTAATCACGATGCTGTCTAAAGGCCCACTGATTGCTCATTTTAAACAGATATCCTAAAACTATGATTGTTGTCTTAAATATACTGTGTTTTAAAAAGTTTCAATGTCTCAATGAGTTGTGTAAGAAAGAATTGCTGTAAGTAACCATTTAACAAGTAGCAACCTCCATTCTTGGATTCTGGTTGAGTGGTGTTGAATTGTGTACCACATTTTGGACACAAGAATTAAAATCTCTGGCTTTAGCAGCAATCCCTTTCTGTGTGGAGATTGACAAATCTCCTGGTATAGATGTCTTAGGTAGCTCGATTTTTCTCCTGAACAGTAGAGATTCTCACTTAATTGGGGAGCTGGCCAACCCTTTCCTTTTCCTGTTACTCAAAATAAAATTATGGAGAAAATGTTAAGATTCTGGGTCAGGATAAACAGAGCAACATCCTGCAAATAGCATGTCGACCCCTTCTTAGCAGCAAGCAGAGAACTTCTACTCAACATATGGCATGCCCTGACTCATCCACGGACATCACATACATAAAGTGGGCTGCTGTGACAACAAATCCCATAATGTGTTGTGAGGCGAGCTCTTGCAAAGCATTCTGGGATATATCTTCCCTTCTAGTGACCATGGATGATCACTACTTTCAAAGGTTC